GGATTGCCAGCATGCACCACTGCACCTGGCATGATTTTCTTTTCTTTTTTTTTTAGTTGTAGATGGAAGCAATAACTTTGTTTTTTTTTTAATTTTTATTTATTTTTATGCGATGCCAAGGATCGAACCCAGTGCTCACACATGCCAGGCAAGTGCTCCACCACTGAGCCACAAACCCAACTAAAAATATTTTTAGTTATAGATGGACACAATACCTTTATTTTATTTATTTATTTTTATGTGATCAAACCCAGTGCCTTACCCATTCGAAGTAAGCACTCTACCACTAAGCCACAACCCCAGCCCACACTATACTACTCTCAAAACTGGCTGCACCATTTTACATTTCCACCATAAATGAACAAGAGTTCCAATTTCTCCAGTATTCATCAATATATATATATATATATATCATCCCAATGGATGTGAAGTAATATTTCGTTGTTTTTTATTTGCATTTCTCTAATGATAAATAATGATTGGCATCCTGTGTTTATTGGCCACTTATATATCTCTTTTAGAGAAACATCTATATAAGACCATGTTCATTTTTAAATTGAGTTGTTTTGTTATAGTTATCATTGTCATTAAATTGTAGGAACTCTTTACGTACCTAGATATTAATCCTTTATCCTCCATGCTGTGGGTTGTCTTTTCATTCTCTGGATAGTATCCTTTGATGAACAAAAGTTTTAATTTTGCTAAAGTTCAATTTATCTTCTTTTTGTTGTTGTTGTTGTCAGTACTTTTAGTGTCATATCCAATAAGTCATCAACAAATTCAATGTTACAAAGATTTATTTCTATGTTTTCTTCTAAGAGTCTTATAGTTTTAGATCCCACACTTAGATCTTTATTCATTTGGAATTAACTTTTCCTTATTCTTATAATTTTGCATGTCCAATTTTGCACGTCTAATTTTAGACATCCAATTTTCCTAGCACCATTTGTTAAAAAGAAGGTATAAGCTTTTATTTAAGAAAATTAAAACTTTATTCATGGCCAGGTGCTGGGGCACACACTTGTAATTCTAGCGGTTAGGGAGGTGGAAGCAGGAGGATCACAAGTTCAAAGCCAGCCTCAGCAATTTAGCAAGGTGCTAAGCAATTCAATGAGACCCTATCTCTAATAAAATAGGGCTGTGATTGTGGCTCAATGGTTGAGTGCCCCTGAGTTCAGTTCCTTGTACCCCTCCCCCCCCCCAAAAAACTCTATTCATATGTTTCCATGTGAAAAATACAGAAAGGAACATACTAAATGAATGAAAATAATCATTACTTCTAGAAAAAATAATAATAATGGGTAGTACACAAGAGCTGTGGTTTTTGTTTTTGTTTTTGGACATGTTTTGTTTTGGCTGGAGATTGAACACAGGACCTGTACAGGCTAAATACATATTATATCACTGATTTATATACTCCCAGCCAGAGCTCTGTTTTTTGCTCTATGTAATTTCATATTTTTAAAAAATTGTTTGCAAGCATGTACTCATGCATTACTTATGCAATGTTAAAAAGTCTCTTTTGCTTGGCTTTAAAATAAAGTTGGTCATATGTCAAAGTATGGGCCAACTAAACTAAGAGTCAATATTTTGGCAGGCTAAAGATCCAAATTAAATAAAAACTCTGAGGCAGGAGAGCTGTGGTGTGGGAAAGAATTAGCAGATCTCGAGGGTAATGCTATTTATACAGATAATCTTCCAGTATCAGTAGCAAACAGAAACGGTAAAGAAAACTTGGTCTTAATTCTTAACCTTCCCCCTTCTGCTACCCCCTCCGACCCCATTTATTCTCTTTTTACTCATTAGCTGTATTTGGGTAGCATATGTTTTACTGATATATGTAAAAGGAAACTGAAGACTCAGAGGTCCCTGTGAACTTTACTAGAGTAAAATAGCCAAAGTTACATAAAGTTTCTTTATGCTATGGTTGAATGGGTGGTTGGACAGTGGGAAGTGGACCATTTCAGAGTGGCCAGATCTGAGAGTTCCAATAACAAAAAAGCCATTGGAGTAGGGGGAGGGGCAGGATAGAAAAAGGAAAGCTCTTAAGTTACATCAATAAGTACACATTGTTTTTCCTCTTTTTCATCAAAGGATTACCTTAGGAAAGCAGTCTTGTATTTGAATAAAATAAATGAATTAAATGCTTGTTGAATACATAAATGTCATATTAATCTAAAGGAGAATAGGTCAAGACAAGTAAATTAAATAAGAGTAGAAAGCTAGGTGTGGTGGCACATGCCTGTAATCCCAGTGGCTCAGGAGGCTGAGGCAGGAGGATTGCCAGTTCAAAGCCAGTCTCAGCAACTTAATGAAGCCGTGAGCAACTCAGCAAAACCCTGTCTCTAAATAAAATAAATTTTTTACAAAGGATTGGGGATGTACCTCGTAGTTAAGTGCTCCTGGGTTCAATCCTTGATATGGATGGATAGATAGATAGATAGATAGATAGATAGATAGATAGATAGATAGATAGATAGATATAGATAGATAGATAGATAGAACCAATACCAGTAAAGTATTGTCCTAAATAGAATGGTTTCAGTAGGAGAAGAAAGAGATGTGTCTAGGCTTTCTACCCAGGGCCACCTGGACAAGACCCCTTTATGGTCAAGAAGTGTAAATCCAGAAACCATGAATTTTACCCTCCAGTAAGCTATGAGTAGAACTGACCCATCATTAAAGTGAAACCACTTCATATTTCCAGGCCCTCTTTCTATTACATTTCTGTTCAATATTATATCATTGATGACTCTCCTCTAGATGCCCCCCTTCTGCAGGGTTGTCTAACCTAACAGAACTTGGAACCATAGGAGCCCAACATGGAAATATTTTTCTAACTCTTCTTCTAAGTCAGTGTCATTCAGAAAGTGTTCTGTTACTTTAGTTCAAGAGCATTTTAGCCACAAGCTTCCCAAGTCTAGCTGCCTACGGATATCCTGACAACTTTTGACCAGTTTCTTGGGTACCTTATCTTGTACCTAGCCTCCCAAATTTTGAGTGCCCAGAATAGGACTAGTCCCATGATCCAGCCAACTTGCTGATATACCTTACCACACTCCTGGAGATCATGCCATCATTTGTCAGGGCATGATATTGCTGATTGAATCCTGACCTTGTGCTAAACTAAGATCCATGATGAATGAGCCATCCCACATGACATGAGACACACCAACTGCCTGAATTTCAAAATCAAGATCACATCCCATTTCCTTGATTTGTACTGCCAGATTAATGATCCATGCCAGGAATCAGACAAGAGTTTGATGACTAATATATTAGATTCCTGCTGTGGCTGTAAAAATAATAAATAAATAAATTCTGCAAATTTGGTGGTTTAAAACAACACAGATTTATTATTATCTTGTAGTTCTTGAGTCAGAAGTCTGCAATGGGTCTCAGAAGACTAAAATCAAAGGTGTTGGAAACACTGTGCTCTTTCTATTTCATTGACTTTCCAGATTCTGGAGGCTGCCTGCAATCCTTGGAGGTAGGCTGCTTTTTTATTTTCAGAGCCAGTAACAGTTTCCAGTGTCTTTCTCAGGACGCACCACTCTACTGTGCTTCTATTGTCACACGCCTATAATCACAGGAGCTTGGGAGGCTAAAGCAGGAGGATTTCAGGTTTGAAGCCAGCCTCAGTAACTTAGTAATCCTATTTCTAAATAAAAATAGAAAAAGGGGTTGGGTGGGTGAGTGTCCTGGATTCAATCCCAGGTATCAAAAAAAAAAAAAAAGGTTTTGAATCTTAATTCAAAGAGTACATGATAGTGTTTCTGCCTAAAGTATATGCAAGTCTATCACCAAGACCTGAAATTCAACATTTATTCATGTTTCCCTTTGGCTTAATTAGAGTAAGTACAACAGAGGGGAGAATATACATGCATCAATTTTATTATCAATTATTAAAACATTTCTAACATTCCTTTTTTATTTTACAGAAATTCATGCTTACAATAACATCAAATAATATAGAGATGTGTAAAGAAAAAGTTAATAGTTTCTTCCTTTTACAATAACATTTCTCAAAAATTCATTGAATGCCTATTAACAGGCCAAGCATTTTCTAGACTGGTGGATACAAAAATGAACAAAACAAAATCCCTGTCCTCGTGGACTAACAGTCTAATGCAAGAAATAAACAAATAACAAATTATGCCAGGTAGCACTAAGAGTTATGAAGAAAATTCAACATAGGTGATCCACGAAGGCTTCTCCTAAAACGTGATATTTGAGGAAAGAACTAAATTAACTGAAGGTGTGCAGCAAGCGAATATCTAAGCTGAAGGAACAAAAAGTACCGCTTTCTGAGGTGATGTGCAGTTGGCTTGTTTGAGAAACAGCAAGGAGGCCAGTGTGCAGGAAGCAGAGCAAATAAGGAATGTCCTTTTATACCTTCAGTAAAATTCTTTGTGTTTTTCCAGTTTAGTTACACTACCAACTACATATAGTTGAATTAATTTGCTCCATTATTGTTATTTTATATGGATTTCAAAAGTATTACTTTTGTAAATAAATTGTTTGCATGTTTCCAAATTCAAATCTACAAAGTATATTCAAAGAAGTCTAGCTTCTCTTTTTATTTCCTCTGACCTATTCTTCCCCTCATAGACAGATAGCTACTTATAAACCTCCTTTTTTTTAAGTATAGGAAATAGTTTTGAAATTTTCTCTACTTCTTAGATACAATATATCTCCTCTTCTACTTCTGAGATAAATGGTAGCATAGTATACAAATATGAATATTTTTTCTTTCGTACTGGGGATTGAACCCAGGGGCTCTCCACCAATGAGCCACATCCCCAGCAATATGTGTATGTGTGTGTGTGTGTGTGTGTGTGTGTGTGTATACATGCATATAATATGTGTGTGTATACATATATATATATGTATACACACACACACACATATATATATTTTAGAGACAGGGTCTTGCTAAATTGCTCATGCCTCAGACTCCCAAGACACTGGGAATACAGGGCGTGTGCCACCACACGCAGGCAAACAAGGAATATTTGATGAATCTGTGACATCCTTGCACAGGGACTATGCTAGTCTTCTCTATAACACCACAATTTTGTTATATGTGTTGGTGACACAAGCACTAAGGCTAAAATTTTACATTAAAATTTTATATTGTCCAGGCAAGGTGGCACATGCCTGTAATCCCAGCTTTTCAGGAGGCTGAGGCAGAAGGAGCCCAAGTTCAATGCCAGTTTCAGCACTTAGGGAAATCCTACTTCAAGAAAATAATTTTGGGGCTGGGGATATGGCTCAAGCGGTAGCGCGCTCTACTGGCATGCGTGCGGCCCGGTTTCGATCCTCAACACCACATACGAAGATGTTATGTCCACCGAAAACTAAAATAAATAAATAAATATTTTTTAAAAATTTTTTTAAAAAGAAAGAAAATAAAATTTAAAAAGGACTGGGGATGTAGCTCAGTGGTAAAGTATCCCTGCATTCAATCCTGAGTACCTAAATAAATAAATAAATAAACAAACAAAAATAAAATTTTACATAGGTAAAAATTCAGAAGCTGGACATGGCCTTTAATAGATGCTACCATGGAGAGTCTTACATAGTAAAGAGACAACATGAAGATCCCAAGTACCTTTAGAGAAAGTAAGTTACCTGGGGTGGATCAAAGACATTGTTGAAAAACATGAAAGGAAAATTGTAGCCAAACACGCAGGTCTAGGGCCTAGATTTGGTTCAATTTATGTTTCATTCCTGCCAATATTCTACTGTATCATGGAATTATCCACAAAAGACTTTAATATTGTTTTTAATAAATTCTTCAGGCACATGAGAGTATAAACACAGAATCCTTCATCGACACAAGAAAAGTTCAAGCAGGCTGGTAAAGCACATGCTTAGCCTGTACAAGACCTTAAGTTGGATCTCCAGCATCACACATGATTTTTTTTTTCTTTTTAATGTTCAGGGGTTTTGTATAAACTCATACCACAAAATTTTAAGTATTTATTGGGTTCTCTATGTTTAAATTTTGAAATACCCATTTTTAAAAAAAAGAAAATTCTAGAGGTAATCCTAATTTGCACCAAGAGACTGAATCTTAGTTCAAAGAGAACAAAATTATTGCAAATAACTTTGAACATATTATTTATTATTGAACAAATATTTGAGTGAATACTATGTTTAACACTTTTTATTATGTGCCATGGAAGACACAAATATGAATCAGACATAATCCCTGCCTTTGAGAATTTTATCATTAACTTAGGTTACAAATCTACTCTTTTTGCCCTGCTTTGTTATTTTGGAGATGGATCCTTGAGGCATTTTCTGCTTTGACAACTGGCAAAATGTTATTTTTAAAAATTAAATACCCGGAGACCAGAGCAGAAGGAAAGAGCTCTCCTTGCTTCTGGTATTCTGTTTGGTGTGTGCAGCTAGTGCATCAGTTTGTAAGGGATGCCTAGCGGTATTCACCTCAGCAGTCTTCATGAACCAGTCTGGTCCACATTTCCAGCAAGTTTCTTTATCACGGGTGGACCACACACATTCCTTTGGCAGCCAAGCCCTCTTCTCTAAATATCTGTTTCTTGCTTGCTGTTCACTCTCTGACAGACATAGGTAGTAGGTGTACCTATACTATTACCACTGTATCCCATAGAGCCACTCTATGCCTTTTAGTAGTTAAACACCCCTCACTGGTTAGCAACTTTTACACTGAATTTTTCCTCTTCAAATTACAAGTATGGTTTCTGTCTTGATGGTTCTAGCAGATACATCATTGAATAAGAAAGAAATGACAGATGCAAATTAATGTGAATTATATGGGAAGAAGCCACTTAAGCTGTAATCACAGTACAAAGACCAATGAGCTTCAGAGATGTAAATTTATAGAATTATATATTGGTAGGGTTATATTCAGGTATATATAACAAAAACCGACCTCAGTGGCTTAACTGAATAAAGATTTATTTTTTCATGTAATGTAAATTCATAAATACTTAGTTAAGAGCTGTTGTAGCTATTTTTAAAAAATTAAGAACTGAGGTTCCTTTAGTTCTGAGGTTCCCCATCTTTAATGTATGACTTTTGTTGTCATTGTTGCAAGATTGCTGCTTCACTTCCCAGCATTGCATCCATATTCCAAGCAGGAAAAAGAAAAGGTAATGAAACAAAGAAATGATCCATTTGAATCTATGTCTTAGGGGTGCTGTCAAAAAACCTCAGTTCTCCTATCACTCCCTCCCTCAGCATTCCTAACTGTAAGGGAATCAGAGAAGTTATTTTTTAACCAGGAATAGGGATCTATCTGTCATTTATCTATTATTTTGTAACAAACTACCCTAAAATTTAATAACTTCAAACAATGACCCTTTTATTGCTCTTGACTCTGTGTCAGGAATTTGGGTAAAGTTCATTGGGGATGGCTCAGTTCTTTTCCTGGGAAGGCTTGACTAGAGCTATGGAATCATAAAACTATGTGAGCTGAGCTTCAGAACTTAAGTCTCTCCCTGCCATAGGTATCTAGTCCATAGGTAATTTGTAAGCAGCCCTGTTAGGGATCCAAGCTTCTCTCCTGCTCCGCTTCAAAAAAATTCCTGCTATTATTTTTGTGCTAAAGAGACAGGAATGGTACTTAATCCAACTTAGCACACAAATATATCTAGAATAATTTATCCTATAGAGGATCTATTGTTGACGTATAGGGCCTTGCTGCTTTTTCTACTGTAGATAACATAGGACAACACAATACTTCAGGTTAGAATTATGTGAGAAACTATACTAATAATCATTTGTTGAACTGCACATGTGAATTATCTCTATTTTATGGGCAAAGACTGAAAATAAATATTAGCATTCATGTTATTTTCAATAATTTGCATCTGATGTTGGATCAGTAAAGACTTACTTATTTTTCATGTTTCAGTTCTAAGGGTTTCTCCCCAGTATTGCTGGTAGATGATATTGCATCTTTGTGCTAACTATATTGCTATAGGTTGATTTTCTTGATTCATGTTTTTTTCATGCTAGGGCTCTAGGCAAAGTTCAGTGTACTTTAGTTTAGCTGTACATCCTGAGGTTTTTTTTGTTGTTTTTCTTGTTGTTTTCTTTTGCAGTGCTGGGGGTAAAACTCAGGCCCTCACTCGTGGTAGGAAAGTATTTTACCACTGAATTACATTCTCAGCGCCTGAATGTGTAAACTTTCTTGTGGACTTGTATCACTTCCAGGTGTCATTTATTAAAACTATGAAATTAAGTTTACATAATTCAAGGATCTAATAACAACACGAGAAATTCAGTAAAAGTCGTTTTTCTGAGATATCTGCTTCCATCTGAAGAAAATTTTTTATCCAAAGTTACCAGAAGTAGATGGTAAAATAAGTGGCTTTAGTCTAAACTCTACATGCAATAACAATATAATCCCTGAATTCGTCCCTCTTTCAGCTAGAAAATTAACCATACTTATGGAACCCTTTTCCAGGTTCCTTGAAAGAAATAGCTTCACTAATTTCTTGTCAAGTAGTAAATGAACACCCCCCGCCCACCCCCATTCCCCTTCCCCTTTTCACAGAGAAGAATGATCGGGAAGGAGACCTTCTACTAAAAAGAAGTAGCAATTGGTAAAAGACCAAATCTCACAAAGTGTGAATGTGGAAAAAAAAAAAAAAGAAGCCCCACTATCATCCCGCCAGATCAAAAGTGAAACACCTGTTGGGTCCGCAATTTCAGCGCTAGTCTTGAATATCATTATCTCCCCAGCCCTTCACCGGAAGGCTAGGGTTGTCCTTCCCAGCTGGCTACAAATAAAGTTGTTACAAAGTGACCTTGAGCGTCTTCCCCTGTGCACCCGACACTCCGCCTTCTCCATCCGGGTGCTGTGGCGTGGATAAGAGCCGCCCCGCGCCTGCGCGCCCAGCCCCACTCCTTCGACCTCTGCCGCCGCTGCCGCCGCCACCTCCTGGGAAGGTAAGTGGAGGGCGCGGAAGCCGGGCCTGGCCAGGGTGGAGCAGCGCCCAGACGGGACCCATTCATTCTGCTGTTGCCTAGCTGGGCACGAGGCCCAAGCTGACGGCGTGCATGGGGGCCCTCGGGGCCTGGGTGGGAAGGACAGGCCCCTGGAGAGCACATGACCTTAAGCCTGTTTGCCTCCGCAGAGAGGAAGCGGGAGAGGAGCCCACGTCGCCTGTCACCTAGATTCTCCAACCCCGCCGCCCCAAGGAGTCTAAGATGTTAGCCTGCGCCAAGCTCGCCTGCACCCCCGCTCTGGTGTGTAGCCCAGGCTGGGCCGGGGGACCGAGGGCCAGGACTGCAGGCCTGGAGAGTCCGCGGTTATTGAATGGGGCAACCTGCGGGCGGGGCACACCGCCCTCCCAAGAACAGCAGTCCCCGCACCCCTTAACTTGATTCCCTTTTCTTGCCTTCCTCCTAAATCCTGGGACATTTCAGACCTCAGCCCTCCTCCATTAGGGCGGGGAAGAGCAGCCCAGGCCTAGCGGTCAGGCCTCACTTTGTGTAGGTCAAATCCTCCTTGCTCTTCCACCTGGAATGCCCCTCCCCCACCACTTCAGTCCGGCTGTGGTGGACGCTATGGTTGGAAAACTGGGGGCAAAGGAGGGGGACGCTGAGGCCTAGTTCCCCGCAGCAGCGCTCTCCAGTGCTTGTCTGTAGGTCATACTTGCTGCTGCAGAGGGAGGGACTTTGCCTTACCGTGCGTGGGTGGAGAAAGGCGGTGGGGGAAACCATAGTCTTTCTGTCGCTGGGATATTATTTCTATAACCATTTCGGAGGCATTAGGTGAAGTCTAAATCTGGAGGATTTGTCTTAGAGAATCAAGTCTTGGTTTTGAAAGGGTTTTCTGTGACCTTAGTGTAGTGGACACTCAAGGGCAGAGAAGCCGGACTAGAGTATGCCCTTATGATGAGAGATTCACTGATTATTAAACTGATGTAAAATTGCTTAAATTCTTGTGTAATTTTATAATTAGTTGGCATCCTGGAAATAGTGGGAGTTCATAGTAACTGTTGTGCTATTTTAAATGATAACTTTATATTAGTGACTCTTTTAATATACCTGTTAATCCATGTAAACTTCACAAAGAGTGTGAGGTGTTCCCTGAATTGAGGCA